GGGAGGAAGTTATTCTTGTGGACTGCTGTTTTGGGGAAATGTAAACTCCCACTTGGCTGGTTTATTCATGGTTTCCGAATCAAGGACTACTTGGTTATCTCGAGGCAGTCTATTCTTAATATGGGGAAACAAATAAAAATCATTAGTTTTACGTCGTGATAGGGATAGTACTGTGGCACTGATAGGTCCTTCTTCTGATCATATGACATTAGGGATAGACTTAGCCGTTTTAACCGTCCTTCACAAGATAGGTTGGAAAGCCGAGCCATTATTTTACTACCTGCTCTTTGAGCGTAAGTCTGTAAATGAGCTTCTTCTTCGAAAAAAGAATGTAATTTAAATGAAGCAATTAATGTGTAGTCGCCTATGTCAATTTCCAAGACTAGTTGCTTACAGAGATGTACAGTATCCTTTCATCTGAAACCCAAACGTTCCCCCCTATATTGGCAAAACTTTTAAATGCATCAAGACATTTATCCTTGAATTTACAAATAATTCATCCTCAGTAAAATTTTGAATGTCACCGCTTCAAGTCCACAATGTCTTAGACCTCAAAGTACATCCGAACCTTTTAACCTAGGGGTAATTTAAAACCCCAACTAAAGTACTCCAGTAACCAAAGTTAATAGTATCACTTTCACTGTTGTTTCCTTAGAAATGTTCATCAGTATACCTTTGGCTAACCCATGATGCTCTTTCTCTCATGCTAAGTGGCAGGCGAAATCCACATTCATGACTAGAAAACATGTGAGGACATTTTCACGTTGAAATGCAGTTTGTTTTACTCATGTAGAAAGTTTGTAGAGAACTGTTTACCGAAAATTGAAGCTAAGCTTTGGCTCAATAAATTAAATGTTGGATTTAAAATAAGCTCAGCGGTACCGCGGCTAACAATAGAAAGTGAAGTGGTTGAGTGTGTTGACCACTTCACCTACCTGGGAAGTAGGATCAACCCCGGTGGGTTAGTCGCCGATGAGATTTCTGCACGGATGCAAAAGGCTCGACTGGCTTTTGCCAATTTGCGCCACCTATGGCTCCGCCGTGGTATTCGTTTGTCTATTAAGGGTCGCGTGTACTGCACAGCGGTCCGCTCTGTTCTACTGTATGGCTGTGAAACATGGCCATTGAAAGTGGAAGATATAAAAAGGCTTCAGGTGTTTGACCACCATTGCCTTCGTAGTATAGGACGTATTCCGTGGTGTCACCATGTGAGTAATGCAGAAGTTAGGTGTAGAGTTTTGGGGAGAAGAGGTAAGTCAGTTGACGAGGTTGTGAACCTTCATCGACTGAGATGGTTGGGACACGTACTACGTATGCCTAGTCACCGATTGCCTCGTCACACAATGTTGACTGAGGTGGGTCCAAGCTGGAAAAAGGCCTGAGGTGGCCAGATCAAAACATGACACCAATGTATGAAGTCTCTGACTGTTGGTTTAAGCCATGTAGGACGATGCAGACTAGGTGGTTGGGGTCCACGGGACAAGAGGAACCAGTGGTTGGAGACCCTAGGTGATATGGCTGAGAACCGAAGTCAGTGGCGCAGATGTATACACACATTATCCTCATCTTAACTACACCATACCGAATCTCACCATTTTGTCACTCCTCTTTGCTTTCTTCTCGTACTTTATATTTCTTTTGACTGCATTCACTTATCTTCATCCTTCACCTCACTACCTTTTTACTTGATGTGCTGATATGAGGTGTGGCCAGTCGGACCGTTAGGCAGTAATGCCTGGTCCTGTGTTGATAATGATGATGATGATTTAAAATAAGTCGAGTGCGAGCCTGGACTTATTTTCAACTATGAAGGCCTGGATAACCAGTTTTTGATAGGCCGCCACTAACTGTAGCTGATTTTCTAGTGTATGAATTTGTACGTGGCTGGTAAGTTACATTCATCTTTGGAGACATTTTTCGGTTGTGCTCGCACTAGCGAGGAATTATGACATACTAGTGTCACAATGACCCGTTTTCACAGTTTCGATCTCGGTGGCTGTTAGGAAAGAGTTTTGGATGCTTCGTATCATTTTTCTCACCCATGATGTGTTCTCTACTTTTGTGCTTATTGAAATCGTAAATGCGGACTATGAAAATGGTGAAGTTAAATCTCGCACTGGTGTATGACTAAGTTGGACATCTAAGTCCTTAATGGTCGCTTTTGGGTAATGAAAACCATCAAAGTAGCATCCTGAAGTCACAAGCAGGTGAAACATGCCATCTGGTACACTTGAGACTTCGACACCAAAGTCCATAAGGTAGCAGTCCGCATGCTGATTGCTCTTAGAACTCAAGATCAACCAAATAATACTCCAATTAACTAATCCTCGGGTTGTCGTCACCTTGCCACTCCCCCGAAAATAAAAACAGTCATGATTGTGACACCCTTCCAGAAGCTGATATCCTCAACTAACCATACTCTCCAAGTTGAGCATACATCCGTTGGCAGAAATTCAAAGTAAGGTGAGAGCAGCCTCTAGAAACGACCGCTTTTGATCTTATTGGATGAAAGAATACCTTTTTGCGCTTATGTGCAATCAACACTTGGTGGTTCTGTTTATCACTCATGCTTAAAAAATCCTTCCATGCATCCATATCAACATAGGACCAGGCATTACTGCGTAAAGGTCCGAGTTGCTACAGTTGATATCAGCAGATCAAGTAAAAAGGCAGTGAAGTGGAAGATGAAGAAAATTCAGTCGAAAGAAATTATAAGTACTAAAAGCGAAAAAGGAAGAATAAGGAAATAGTGAGACTCGGTATAGCGTTAAGATGAGGATAATGTGTGCATACATATACGCCACTGACTTCGGTTCTGAGCCATATTGCCTAGAGTCTCCAACCACTGGTTTCTCTTGTCCGACGGACCCCGACTGGCTAGTCTGCATCGCACGACATGGCTCAAACCAACAGTCAAAGACTTAATACATTGATACCATATTATCCGGACAGGGTTAAGTGAATAAGCTCCTTTAAGTGCTGTATGCGTGTTTTAAAAATGGAAGTGCACTTTTGCAGCCCGACATGCCAGAGTTTTGACTAGCTAAGCTTGTTGAGTAGATATGGGAAACTCCGACTTGTAGTTCAAGGCGTGGCTTAAGAAGACCAGGAATGGTGTCTTGTGAACTCGGATCATTATCAAGGGCTGCAGAGCAAGGGAAAATTAAATATAACGTAGAAATATTGGTCAGCAGGCTTAAAGAAAGATTAGAAGGCAAAGTTGTGGGAGGTTGGTAATAATCCGAGGGAACTTGGGAACTGATAGAGTTATAAACGTGGTTGATACTTTTTGTCTATTCACTCCGTGAGGGTTACTTTTCCACGGATACCTGTTTAAGGCTAGCCTCACACGGCTTTTTTATAAGTTCTAGATTTAACTTTGATTGTCTTAAATCCAGCTAGGAAACCTTTACCGCTGCACTGAAAGACTGTAGGGCAGGAAAAAGTATACAGTTTTTTCGGGGTGGGCTGACGTTTCACAAACCTCCTTCCTATAGGAAAGGCAGCTTCAGTATGGACTGCTAATCATCTGCGGGAATCACTTCATTCCTATCATGCCCCTTCTCAACCAGCAGTGTGACTCCCTCCTTCAGACCCACATGGTAGTGTGGCTATTTACACTGATGGTAACTTTTTTGTCTTACTATCCAGCAAGCCTTTCGGTTGTCGCTGGACATTAAGGAACAAATGTTCCCACCAGCGTATCTGGTTGGCTCACTATGATATGAAAGTCCTTTCGCCACGCCTAGGCGGCAGATATCGGCCGGGTTATGTAAACATGTGAAAAGCATTGACATATCTGAAATGTAATGAGACTACACAAAAGAAACGAAACGTGGGAATTCATGCGAGTTGTTGAAGGAAGTTAACCAGAAGTCACTTCAGTATAAGCAGACGTCTTAGCTTGGATGGAGCGTCAAACATCGTTTTAGAGCAATTGAAGAGCCCGGTACCAGTGGAGACTTTCGGGAAATAATTCCGATCATAACGCGTACACGTTTATGATAACTTTATGTAACATCAAGGTGAGCGTGTGTTTGAGGCATTTTCCGACAAACCTAGTCAGGGAACTTCAAACAGACCCCATGAACCCGTACTGATTCATGACGTATAGGTAAGCTACTACCCACTGGAGTCTTTATAAGTCGCGTTACCCGATAGTGACGAAAAGTGGTCACTATACTGTTTTCATTAGTTTTAATTATATTTAGGAAACACTTTCACTGTTTAATCGTTGATAGGTAGGACTTAGAACACTAGAATTAATAAATATTCATGATAGTACTCATCACGAACTGATACCATTGTGAGAACTATTTAACACCTGTGGGGTAGCGAGCAGCCATCAGACCCAGCTGGAGATCAAACCCAGAACCGTCAAATCCTGATGAGCACGTTGCGATCTAGCCTCTGTATCAGAATCTTTGAGTTTGCGTTTTCTTACTTCTGTCAGACCGCGATTTAGCATAATTATCATCGGATACCGTCGACAAGTATCCATCTTCATACGTAATTCAGGTGTAAAGGCTATCTTTTTGAGTTTCTTACTGCTAGAATGCAGTTTTGGTATAATTTTTCAATCTCATGACCAATATTGGACCAGTATGTGTAACTACGTTCCAGTGTCTTCATTTTAGCGGTCTGAAAGCCACTGCGGAATTGTCTCAATAGTTCTCCAACTGATGTCAGACTGTGATGTAATCATTCATTCCCCCACAGACCTCCAAATTATAATAATTGATAGTAGATTCCCTTAAAAGCTATTTTATTTCCCGAAGTAGATATAAATAACATAGAATCCGCCAATCAACTCTATTTGTCACGAATTGCATAACAATATCCACACAGCAATATTTTTACCGTTAATAAACCATCTAACGTTTTTATTCGTTTTAGAAAAATTCTCTAACCAAGGCAATGTCATTAATTCATCAAAAGTTAGCAGAACGTCTGTTTATTCTAAATGATCGTCAACTTGGTGTATTAACCGCATCCACTACATGAAACAAATGCTCACCTTACCTGAATATCGGCCCAGTGTACTTCCCGGTGGTGATAAAACGTTTGATTCAGCCTGGAAAATGTTATTAAAAAAGTTCCCGTCGATCGATATTAAATCCAGTCAGTCAAATATGCAACCATTTTACAATCATCAAAAAGAAATATTTGCCGTTTTATCAATTTACTACTTCAACTTTGTTGATGTTCTTGATGTAAGAGATCATTTCAATGATCTGATGGTGTGTTTAGGTTCATCACAGATAACCCTTGATATTACTGTAAACTTTGATGTTACACGACTTTACTTAGAACTTGTTAGTAATTATTTTGCTATGATGTTTCTTATCACACGTATTGCAGACACTAAAGCTATATTGATTTTGTTCAACTTTTTGTATGATCAACTGCATGGTAAACAAGAGCCTAATTATCCACGTATGGCAGAAATGTTTACTGAAACACCTGAAGGTATGCTTAATCGTTTACACAAAGAGATAAATCCTCATTGTCGAACATTGTCCAAAGCTCTTCGATCATTGAATGATTTTTATAATCGGCGAACAGTAAGAGCTCAAAATTGGAGTGATGGACATTTCTTAGATATTCTACACGAACCGAATAAAATAACACATACAGTTCTCGGTGAACAGTTGGGTTGTGAATTGATACCATATGAAGTGATGGAAAGATGGATAGTTTTTGGTTATCTACTAATATATCCTGAATTGACTGATGAAGAGTCATTCAATAGGTTGAAAGTAGCTCTACGTCATTCTTATGTTGTTGTATTATTCCGAGAAGAAGTGATACACATACATTCACTTTTACAATCATTTCTTGAATCTGCATGGGTCAATAAGGTAGGAGTGAAAAGAATTAATGAAATAAAGGAGACTTTTTCAATTGCATGTTCACAGACAGCAAAAATGCACGCTGATAGACGAGCTTATTTACGTTTATCATTACGCCAACTTCATCTTATTTTAGCCGATGAACCTGGATTATTAGGTCCGAAAGCATTTCTAGTATTTTGGGGATTATCCTATGCATCAGATGAAGTTCATTGGCTTTTAAGACATTCTGCTAATCCAATAATGAAGAAAAATACAAGTACAACTCGTACTGGTGGACCATTTTCAACTGATGAATTCTGTGATCCATTTCTACCGGAATTACTTTTCAGGATGGATGAACTACGTTCTTTAGTTGTACGTTATAGTCCTATTGTACAACGTTTTTATCTTCAACTATTAGGTTGTTATGATGGTCCTGGATTGATTGAATACATTCAAGACATTTTACCACATATGAATAATGAAGAGGCGATTATTTTCACTTCGATTTCAAAACAGTTATGCGAACTTTCAGATAATCCTGTTGTACGTGAAACAAATTTAACTCCTATGCAATCGGCCATGTTTGATTTCTCAGGTATTCGACTTGATTGGCTGCGTGTACAGGCGAGTTTATCATGTAAAGCTGCATCTGTTAATCTAAGCGATTATCGTCGACTTGTTGAACATATGAATTCTACAATACTACACACTAAACTTGTTGACTATTTAGATGAGCTACTTCGTTTAGTCTCTGACATGTCAATATTTATATATTATCCCGCAAAATTCACTGAACTATTCTCTAATTGTCGTATATGCCCTGCACAGTTAAGATTTACAATTGTATTTCCGAGTATTTGTTCACAGGCTATACAAGCTTGTCACGATCTATGCCCAGAGGAACGTTCACATATTGGTCGTAATGCAGCAAATTTATGTCGTCATTTTGTCAAGAAATCGCTGATAATATCTGCCTTTACTTATTTAATCGTATTGATGAATTCGGCAATATGGCTGATCAATTGGCTCCACAAAACTCTGTACCATGGCTTACAGATGAAAAGCCGACGAAAAAAAATAAAAAGCCATGTCTAATACTCGACAAAATTTGAATGGAGGCATAAACACAAGCGGAATAGATTCAAGAAAAGGCAAGCGTATAAATGGACCTGTCACTGGTGCTGCTGTTAACACTACTACTACCACCATTAATAGTCATAAACTTGCTACAAACAATATGTCCATTGATTCACGTCTTATTCCAGGTAATGAAAGTTTTAGAACTAATCGAGAAGAACAGACTGTAAATGATAAAACATTATTTGGTCTTAGTCAACTATGTAATTCTATGAATCATCATAGAGAATTGATGGTTTTTGACCAAGTGATTAATCCACGTGAAATACTTCAAAATGAAATACAACTAAGGATTATTGATCTTCTTTCTAGTTACACAACATTCATGTAAGTGTTTCTACTGTATTGAGTTTTTTCGGACTTGAATTTTATGTATTCTCTTATCAGTGTTTTATCGTCAGTCGACGACGTTGTGAACTTTCTGTGATTGAGGTGGCTTAGACATGGGCTCTGTATGCTGAGCCACCGCCTACCTCTAATTCCCATGATAGAAGTCGAATTAAGTTGGAAAAGGGTTCAGAGTGACCATACCAAGACGTGGCATAAGTACATAAAGTCTCTGACTGCTGGTCAGCTGTGTATGGAGGTGTAGAATACCCTACTGGGGTCCTTGAGATGGAGGGAATCAGTTGTTGAAGACTCATGATGACTTAGCTGAAAATCGGTCATAGTGGCGTTGATATATTCACTTTTTGATATCTTCTAAAGCTTGAATGTTTTGACCAACCTTCATTTTCAAATTCATTCTCCTCCTATGCGCCTTTGACTACTTTGATATTACTCCTTTTCCATTCACTATGTTCTTTGTATGCTACTGTGAAGTTTGACAACTTGAACTGATTTACTTGTGTGCGAGGTTCGACGTTGATTTTCTCTGTCTGCATACTGATTATTATAAACATTCATGAACACTTTACACAAAAGCCGACCAATATTGCTGTTTATGCTAATGAAAGTAGATAATTCATACCAAAATATACAATTGAAGTATGCGGAAATACGTTATATCAACGTATCATATTCGAAGGACATCCAAATTTTATTGATTCAAGTAATCTGCTTCGGGGTTTTACGTGTAACTGTAGTTGAAAACAATTGCCGTATAAATATACAACCAAGTTGGGCTCTAATAGTTTGAAAAAATATGCTCATTGGGCCAGTGTTATTCATGATTTTGGCATTTGTATACCCCTATGAATGTCAAATAAAACAAGGTCGTTTTAACTGATGTTTTGCCAGTTAGCACTAACAGCTTTATCGAAGTTATAGTAAATCGGAACTTAAAATATTAAAGAATATACATGACAACTTGATTTGAGTCTTCTTGCGTAGATGATTCTGAGTTGTCATACTGTTGAGAAAGATGATGACCACACGCAGTTTGCTGCTACTTGTAGTAAATGTGTGAATTACAGATTGAGATTTATATGTACAAAAATGTTTTTAGTTCTTTTTTTGTGTATTCGTTATACCAGTTGGTAGTGGTGGGTTGAAATAGGTTTAGCTATGGTTTATTCCCCTCATTCCTATTTCGACAATGTTGATTCTATTTCGTATATGAAGAGATTCCGCTATGAGACATAATTTCTAACGCCTTTATGAATCATTTCAGTTAGTCATTTTAAAGTCGATCTTGTTACTTGAAATTACATCGTGTAGAGCTATGGTGAAGTATTTTCCAGCCTTTTTTAGCTGGAAGCCTTCGAGTGTTTGTTGTTTTCGCACGAAGTTTGTTTCATGTACATTGTATCCCAGTGTGTGTTTTGTTTTTGTTATCTTACAGAATCTTAGGGAGTTCTGTCCTTCATATACATCAAAGCGCTCAGTAGTATAGTGTGTTTGATTTTCTTTAGGACACCTTGATATTGCATTTATTGAGCAGCCTTCAAAATTCAACCGATGTATGTGAGCTGTATAGGATGATTATTGTTGTGGCCCATCATGATTTCTTAAGAATACTTTTTCGATATAGTTTATTAATATTTTCGATTTTGCGAATAAGTTTTACCGGACAATTATCTTAAGGATCTTATTTACATAATTAATCCCTTCACCTATTGATTTTCCTCCTTAAAAGACTGGAGGTGATAAAGACGTTTGTACTGATGAGCTATGATAAACTGAAAACTAAGCATTTATTCGAGTGTATCGCTGTTTTGAAAATGTCCTGGTCTTTCCACTTGACTAGATAATCAAAGAAGAGTAGTTCACCCTCATCCGTTTTTTATTCTGACCTAAATTCGATATTGGGGAATCTGGTATTTAACCCATCTAAAAATACGTTTTAGAACTACGAATTTCCTATCAGTATATCATAACAAAACTTTTGGCTTCAGTAAGTGTGTGAGGACATTTTATTGGAATTTATTCATAAATTGGTTTTCTACTAGGGATAAGATAGGCAGACTCATCACCGTTGGTTGGTTTTGCATAGTTTTCTAAATGTGAACGTAACTTGTCTGTAAAATTTTAAGAATGATATCGCTAGTGTTTAGTAGATGTCTTTTTTATCAAGGTTTTGTCGGAGTCTAACAAGTTGGAATTAATATGTAGGCTTTCATTGTCTAGAATACTAGTTTATGAAAAATCGATGTCATAGCTTAAGATAATTTTATCTCCCTCTATTTCGGACTTAAAGTCTAGGGGATCCTTGATTTTGTATTCTAAGAAAGACTGAAACAATTATGAGGAACGTCTTGGAAGAATCTCTTCATATACAAAATGCAATCAACATTGACGAAATAGGAGTGAGGGGAATAAACCATAGCTAACCCGAATTCATCCCACACCACTCACTGATATAACAAATACACACACAATAAGAACTAAAAACATACGTGTACATACAAATCTGAATCTGTAATTCACACATTTACTACAAGCAGCAGCAAACTGCATGCGGTCATCATCTTTCTCAACAGCTTGACGACGCAGGATCACATGTGCAGGAAAACCTAAACCAAGTTATCATACGTGAGCTTCATCATCATTAGTATCAACGAAGGTCAGTCCAAGTTACTACATCTCATACCAGCACAACAAGTAACATAGGAATCAGATGAAAGATGGAAAAATAAATAGGGATCAGTTAAAAACAGCAGAAAGCAGTAAAAAGGGAGAAAGGGGAATAAGGAAATGCTGAATTTAATATAGCAGTTGAGATGAAGATAATGTGGGATACATCTACACCACTCACTTAGCCATGTCATCTATCGTCTCCACTGGTTTCTCTTGTCATGCGGGCCTCAACCGGCTAGTTTACATTTCAGTACATGACTCGGAAGAACAGGTTGAAATTGATGCCGTGTTTGAGTCTGACTACCCAAACCTTTTCCAGCTAAAAACTGCTTCAACTAAAGTTGCGTGAGTAGGCAGACAGTGACTAGGCACGTGTAACTCATTTTCTAGCCACCCCACTGTATGAAGGTTAATGATTTTATCAACTGCCTTTCCACTACTCCCTAAAACTTTACACCTGGCTTCTGCATTTCTCACGTGATGACACCACGAAACACAGCCTACGCTACGAAGGCAGCGGTGTTCAAAAACCAGAAATCTCATGCTTTCTACCTTTCATGACTGTGTTTCACAGCCGTGTAATAGAAAAGAGCTAACTGTAGCTCAATACACTCGGTTCTTAATGGGCAGTTGGATATCATGGTGACGCCACAGATGGTGTGAGTTGGCAAAAGCTAGTGGAACTTGATTGTCGTAAATTCCGACTAACCATAACCATAGTGAAACGTCAATAGAGACAACCTTTTTTCGTTTTACATTCATTGGGAAATACAGATGCCAAAATAATGAGACTAATTGTCGTGGTGTCTGTAAGGCCTGGCTTGGTGCTGGAACTTTCGGCTTAATCTCAAGCTTAGAGGAGCATGTTTTTACCAGTGAATTCTTAAATTTGTTCATTCACTTTGACAATTTATAATAAATTGATACTGTTACTTGGTAGTTTTGCACGTCGATGCCCAACAGTAAGTATCTCAATTTCCTGTTGTTGGTGAATTTACCCTCCAAAGTCCTATATGCAGATGCCTCGACATAGTAGTGAGTATAATTTGGATATTGGTTGATAATGGCTTGCGAAGCATGCATGATAATCAGCCCAAACGGGCTGGTTACTGGCGAAATTTCAGTTGGGTTACAGAAGGTCTCTTTGGCATTTGCCAACTCGCGTAATCTGTAGCGCCGCCTGGCTAGGTATCTGACTATCTATCAAGGGATGAGGATACTGCGCTGCAGTTCGTTCTGTCCTGTTACACGCCTGCGAGACATGGCCGTTAAAAGTAGAAGACATGAAGTGACTAAGGGGTTTAGATCATAGGTATCCTCTTATTATTGCTCGCGTTTGATGGAATCACCGTGCATCGGTTCAAGTTGCCAAACTTCACAGTAACGTACAAAAACAAGTGGTCGAAAAATTGTAATGTCAAGGTTAGTGCAAATATTTAAGCTTTAGAAGGCATCGAAGAATGAATACATCTGCGCCGCTGTTGCAGATTTTCAGCCATTTCAGCAAGAGTCCTCAACCCTTAATTCCTATCGTCTTGGAGACCTCAGCCAGATAGCGTATATCTCCCCGTACGGCTCAGACCAACAGTCACGGATTTCATTGACTGTCACTAGGTCTTGATCTGGCCAACCTAATCCTATCTCTCCCAGCATGGCGCGTTGAGGTCGGCGGTGACTTAGCGTGCTCAACACATGTCCAACTCACTTCAGTCGATGAATGTTCACAACCTCATCAATTGACTTGCCTATTACCCTTCGTGCTGATTTCATCAAGCGCGAACAATGCTACTAAGACATCTATGATCAAAACCTTATAACCGTTCCATGTCTTCCCTCATCCAATAGCTCACCTCGTTAGGATAGGCTACGATGAGGCATACTCCAGAGACATGCTTGAAAACAACTAAATTGGTTAAGCCCCCGTTGCTATATTGGGTCAAATCGTTCGACCTATATTAACAGATGGGCTGCTATATAGATGGCTCGATATTGCCAGGATATTCATTATGTGGCTATCGGTTGAGTCCAGAACACGCGTTTCGTCCTACTTGGAATTTGTCAGCTGGATGTGCCTGCATCCCAGTGATTCAAGATTCAAATGAAGTACCCACCGCTTCAAACGCCAAAGCGTCATCCATTTGGACACTGAGATACAAGAGCCGGCCGATAACTGGTACTTTGACATAGTGGTCAGGCTTGCATATCAAAATGACCCAGCGAGCTATGTTGGTGAAACGGTTGTTTCCTCCAGTTCTTATCACAGAAAAACCTGCTGGTAAGACAAAAGCAGTTACCATTGTAGTGTAAACCACGAGACTATGATGTGGATCTGAGAGCGAAGTCGTGCTGGTGCTAGCTAGATGGGTTGTGACAACCGTAACATGTTTCTCTTGGATAACTAGCATTGCTATATTTTAGAAAGACAATGACTATACGAAGAGGAATGGAAAAGGAGATTAAGTACACGTCTTGGATCCATTTATATATCCTTGATGTTTTAACTTTGTTTATTTCCCTTAAAAAGGCTTGGATCAGACTCACATGCAAAGCGTTGGAATTATTTCATTTCAAGCACGCTGTGACACACCAAAACAAACTATTTAGTGTCATCTCCGCAATGCTTAATGTTATTCATTTCTGTTTATGCTCTTCAGTTCCTTGTTTATGTACTTGAACTGACTAGTGAGTTTTCTAGTTCTATCATTTAGCTATTTGACTAAGCCTGTCTTAACTGACATTGGATGAGATGACTTTAGGTCTAGATACCTGTTAAAATGTGTCAGTTTTCTGCGGACGGTAGTATGCAAGCCACCATCTGTCCTTCGTTTTATTCTGCAATCCAACATAAGTAATTCTCGTTGTTCACTTTTTACCTCGTAAGTGAATTGGATTGCGCCTACTACTGAGTTAATGTATGTGAGAAAACTGTCAATATGTTCCGGTTTCTACACAGAAGTGTGTCATCCACATATCACCACGATATCTCAGGCGCAGGATTGAACGTTTGTAAAGCCATGTTTCCCCAGCTATCCATAAATGTATCTACTACGATTGGAGATATTGGTGATCCCGTTGCTACTCCTTCTATTTGTCTGTATATTTTGTCCTGAAACTTGAATGCTGTGCACGTGAGGCACAACTGTACTCCTAATGCGATCTCATCAACGGATATCTTAGTTCTGCGAGTAAATTTTGAGTCAGTTGATTTCTGACTGTCCTCAGTGCCATATGACACTGAAGGCAAAAAGTTTTTTCACTTGATGGTGACAAGTTTGTGCTGTCATCACAAAAATATTTCGGAACTGTCTTAAGCATATCATCGATTAAAAAGTTGTCAAGGAGCAGTGATGAAATCAAGAAGCCTTACATAGGCCCACTGATGCATTGGAACAATGAACATAGGTGACTGTATACCCTCGCTCTGCCTGAGGTATAGGACTTCCAATTTGTTGACAAACTTCACCGATAGGATGAGAAATTTAGGAATGTAGCAGAAGTAAGACTGTGGATATCCAGTAGGATTTTATCATCAGTCACTCAGTGAATCATTTCGATTTCTTGTTGACATAAATAGTGTTGAGTTATAACTCACCGGTTTAGGGAGCTGACTTTCAACCAGTGGTTCGTTGGTTCAAGCACTACCCCACCTGCCGAGGTTTGAGAAGCCAGGTAGCACCATTAGCCTTCACACACAATAGGTGTGACTCATTACCTAAAGCACGAACGTGAACAAGGTTGCTGAGTGTGTTTCTATTCGATTCGACATGATAATTGAAATAAATCTTCATAGTTAATCGATGCATATAAACAGAATAATAAAAGTGTTTAATTTTCAAATGTGAACGTGACTAGTAATTGTTAAAAGGTAATAAGTGTAAGCCATTTGGGACTAAAACAGGATTCATTACTGTTGCCGTGATGTAAAAAAAAATTCAAAAAAGTACATTTGTACTTTTGTAAAATGTTGGTAATGTCAGAGGCAGACTAATGCCAAAATAGTGAATTAAAATGTTTGCAGAGAATACGAATATGGTAACCAGTATTACAATTAGTATGGGGGAATCATGATCGATAATATTCGGTCAGCACCCGGGACTAGGCAACATAAAACTTGTTTCTCTCCTGTGACCAAGCAATTCAGCTAATCCCCTCCTACAGGAGGTCAATCGTGGTAAAATCTCCAAATACAGAGCTGACTGGTGTGAGTTCGAATCACTTGAGGTTGTAGACATGCCTTACTGACAAGTTCTAACAAGCATGAAACCTGCGGGGCTTCTTACTGATTACCTTCAACTATCTAACATCATAAATAATTGCATACACACCAACTGAAGATCATAAGTTCATCATAGTTTAGCGTGGGAAAATACGGAAAAATGACGATCAAGAGTATACTATCATATGAAGTTAAAACTGACTACTGCCTTTCTCCTGCAAACGAAGTTCCAGTTTGTGCGTTCGAATAGCATAGGCTTCTCCAAACCGAAGTGGTCTTTTGTTCTTCTGTTTATTAATGACTCTCAGGTTAACGGAAGTGTTAACCAGTATATGGGGATCAAATACGATCCCCTCTGACTGGTCTAAATCACTGATTATTCCAGTCTTCAAGAAAGGCGAGAAGTCCTCTCGTGATCAGCCTGACGAACATAGTATCCAAAATACTAGGCGCTATAATTCTGCGATGCCTGAGTGGAGCTCGGGGACAGCAAGCCCGAGAAAACCTAGCAGGCTTTAGACCCGGCAACGGGTGTATTGACCAAATATTCACACTGCGCCAGGTCCTGGAACATAGGCACGCTTACAGACGCCCGACAATAGCCGTATTTCTCGACCTGAGGACGGCGGCATTCGACTCCGTCGATCGAGAAGTGTTATGTCAATGTCTCCCACTGAATGACGTGCCGAGTAAGTACATCACCTTATTGAGGGCTGTCTACTCGAACACTTGTGGGCGTGTTAGAGCCTATGGTAAGATGTTCAGGGAGCTATGCTCATCGAGTGGTGCCCACTGTCTCCATTCCTATTGAATTTTATCATAGATATTCTTATGGAGGTCTCCCTCTCGTCACCTGATTACACAGAGTTTGAGGTGATCACAGGATAATTTTCGTTAGACCTGGAATATGCAGATGGTATGACATAGTCGTGTTAGGTGAAGGTGCTGACAAGATGCAGAGTCTTCTGAAGACTTTGAGTGTTAATTTGAGAATGTTTTGGATGTGTTTGTCACCACCCGAATGCAAATTGCTGCTGTAGGATTGGTCTTCAATGGTGCACCACCACGGGTAACAATAGAGAGTGTAGTGGTTGAGTGTATTGATTACTTGACTTACCTGGGAAGTGTGATCAGCTGTGGTGCATTAGTCATTGGTCGATGAAATCTGTGCATGGGAACAAAAGTCTTGACTGGCTTTGCTAACTCATGGTATCTGTGGTGCCGCCGTGATATCCGATTGTGTATTAAGGGTTGTGTGTACTGCACAGTAGTCCGGTCTGTTGTACTGTATGTCTGTGAAACAGGACGATTGAAGGTGGAAGAGATGAGAAGGCTGGTTTCAGGTGTTTGAGTACCGTTGCCTTTGTAGTGTAGTCCGTATTGCGTTGTTTCAGCACATGAGTAACTCAGAAGTCAGGTGTAGAGTTTTAGGGAGAAGAGGTAAGTCTGTTGACGATGTTGTGAACCTTTGTTGAGTGAGATGTTTGGTACATGTGTTAGGTCTGCCTAGTGGCTGATTGCCTCGTCACACAATGTTGGTCGAAGTAGGTCCATGTTGTAAAAAGGCTGGAGGTGGCCAGACTGAAACATGGTATGAATGTATGAAGTGTTTGACTGACTGTTGGTTATAGCGATGTGGGGTGATGCAGACTAGGTGGTTGAGGTCGGTGGGACAAGTGGAACCAGTGATTGGGGAGTCTAGGTGATATGACTGAGAACGGATGTTAGTGGTGCAGATGTATACACACATTATGCTCATCTTGACACTGTACGGAATCTCACCACTTCCTCATTCTTCGTTTCTCTCTTTGAGTACTTGATATTTCTTCTGAGTGAATTTTCTTATCTTCATCTTGCACTTCACTGCGTTTTTACTTGATGTAGTGTAGTGATATGATTTGTGACAACTGTGATCGTTACACAGTAATGCCTGGTCCTATATTGCTGGCTGTTAAGTCCACGAACACGTGAACTGATATACACACTGCTCGTATCACCCTTTTTTTTTGTTTTACTATAAATTCGGTGCATAAGAGTTCCGATTTACAAACCTCACGAATTGGCATTTAGTCGTCTGCGTATCTGATTCACATCATCTCCGTTAAATGGCAATGCGATATAAATCTGTCTGTTTGTAGTCGTAGTGATAGCTTCTTTGTGTTTGTATTCTTTAGGATACTTATACACGAATCTGTGAGGATAATCGTTTTCATACTTGAGGAAGTGTCGTTCCTATACCATCACATCATCGGAAGAAATTTCCTTCAACCTATCAACTGTTCATTGTTTTTTTCCCCTGCAGATCTCATGACAATACAAATGATCCACTTATTGCTAAGCCATCAGAATTACTTCGACGTGTACGAGCTTTAATGAGTGCTCTTATGGACTTGGAAAATCATGTATGCATTGATGTAATTGGATTGTTTTCCACTGTCTTCACTCAGCATACTCAACCTGTGGATGCTTTCCGAGTGAGTGATATATATATATATATATATATATATATATATATATATATATATATATATATATATTATTTATATATATATATATATATATATAACATAATAACCACCTTTTTGAAACAAATGGCTTGTTTTATTTTGTAGTGCAGTCGCAGTCATTTAATTCACCAACCCTGTATAGATTTTGCAAACTATCTTGTAAGCCTATGTCTCGTAGGCAGTTGTCCCCTGTTTTGTTTCTATCTGTTTTTCGTATATTCATAAAAATATGAGAGTCAAAGAAGAAATCTCTTGTTGTACCCCGTCACAACACTATTACCCCAGATTTGAGGATTAGCAATAAGCAGTTAACCCAGATAATTACTCCATATGATGCATAAGTACGGACAAGGAAGAAATAATCAAAGAGTGTTATTCTCGGACTAAATTGTTGAATAATGTATAATCAAGCACAGTAACATCTAACTCGAGTTTTTCGCTCAGCTCCAAGTTCCAGATCTGTCTTTCAGGTCTTTGGACGTTTCAACACAAACTTAATGAACCCCTCCCATCGCCTGGCAGGAAACATCCTATCAAAGCATTTAAATGAAGACGAACACTAACTGTGACCAATGTGGGAATCGTCTATGGTTTCATCTAAACCGTGCATCTAAGTGTGACCTGAACTCCTCAAGACGATGGGAATCAATGCTTGGAGACTTGATGATTTGGCTCAAAATTGGTCACAATAGAGCAAATGTCATATCGGAAGTTTTGAGTATTTTCACTATCCTCAGTCTATCTATTCTCAGTCCTTTCATGGACTTTTGCCTACTGTTCCTCGAAGTGTTACACCCATCGTTGCATTCGTCTCTCTTGTAAATGAATCTTAGACCTATGCTTCTCCGCTATAGTCTCACTAACCGTTGACCTTTTCTCCGCAGTTTCTTTAGTAAGTCTAAATAATCATCTACTGTTATCTATCGCTACTGCCTTTTTCATCTCTTTAGCCTTTGATGCCCACCTCTGTTCGGGGTCGTTGCGTAAATTTTTTGTCAGTCTACATTTCAGTTGCGTTCGCTCTTCATTGTATTCAGAGCATGCAGGGATACGTAGGCGCTTATTTACTCCTTATCTCAGTTTGGTCATTGTTAATTCTTTTCTAATGGAGATTCATTTAGCAACCATGGGCATATTACTTGCAGTGGACAATAAGCCACACCTATTATTTGAAGGATAATAATACTATCTGACTGCCCAAACCCATTAGGTGGAGCTGGTTTTGAATCCGTGACCCATCGTTTATCAATCAAGTGTCTAGACTAATGAATCACAGCTTCACAATCTTTTCGAATACTTTCTTATTCCAAATAGATGGTAAATCACAATGTTAGACACGTCTACGCTTCATTCAGTTTATCTTCGCAAACATCTTACCTAGTTGTTCGCCTTATTAAGCATCCATCTGATAGCTTAGTGTATATTTGAGCATAAGCATACAAGTTAATCTTTATTTCTTCGAAGATATAAGATATTGTTCCAAATTTCCATTGAAATCTGTAGGTTCTTAAAAGAATATCCAGTTAGTTGTCAACTTTTCGTTATGATGTTACCTTGTTTTCATTCATCATAAGGTACATTATCATTTTCCACGGGCTTTTTTTTGCGGGGGGGGGGGGGGGTCGATTTCAGCGACACATATTCACTCACTCATTGTCTTCAAGTTAATCATGATACTGAATTTCATTATTGTCTTATCCCTTCTTGTTCTCATTTCGTGATTTTCTACCACCTCTGAATAGTTTCTTCCGTATTTCTTCATCTTCTTGTTTAGTGTATTCTTGGTTGATATGCTGATATTAGGTGTGGTTCCTTAGACTATTACGCATTGATGCTAGTTCCTATATTGATACTGACTGACTAATTGACAGATTCTACTGAATCGATCAATTGATTTTAGTTGAACTAAGTAAGGATCAACTAGTGACAACTGATACCAGTTGCATAAGAGATGGCTATCGTGATTGATTACTCTACGGGCTAACATATTGGAGTTTAAGGTGACCAGTACTAAATTGAAGTCTCTATGAGACTATCATTACTCACTGTGATACAGACACGTCTAGCTGACTAAACGCATATCTTGTATTCCACTTCTAACCACCATCAACCAAATAATAATTATTCCCTGCATTTCTTTTTTTTCGATTAAATAACTGGTTTTTATACAAGACTTTTTCTTGTTTGTTTTCTCTCTCTCTCTCTCTCTCTCTCTGTGCGTGTGTGTGTGTGTGTGTGAATACACGTAATAGGGACAATTGACAATGACTGCGCATTATGCTGAATGGTACTTGGAGAATTTCATCAAGCATGCTTATATGGATCATTTTGTGTATTCACCATTGTTGAAAAGTTTTGTCACTTTGGTTTCACCAGATGTTGTACGATTTCGAGCTGAAGATTATGCTGATTTTAATGAACTTGTGGCGCTTACTGAACTCATTGGTAAGTGAAGTTTTTATATATTGAAATAGTCTTTCTTTTCTTGAGTGTTTTGAGTCGTTTTATCCAAAAAGAAGCAGATAATGTAACGACCAGTTGTTGATACGTTTTTATCTAGCCTGTAAGTGTAGGTATGTTGTTGCAAGGGGTGCACAGAGCAGTGTGACCACGTGAAATCTGGAGAGGAAAAAAGAAAGAGAAAAAAGGTGAGTCGACAGCTCAGCAGGTACACAGGATGTACTTACATTTAATAAGAAAAGATAACTGACGAATGGTAGAGCTTGACGACGAAAAGGTGATCGAAACTGGAAGGTGAATGAGTAGAATTTCGAACACGTTACACTACTCCCCCTTCTTTGGAGGCACTATACTAAGTGCGAAACAGTAAATTTTAGTGCAGTATGGAATTCTCGGTGTGATATTTCAACAAGTTTACCCTTTGTAGATTATCCTCAACTTAATTAATCATTGTAGTTAAGTGATGTTAAATAATAACAGTATAATTAGCGATAATTCACAACGACCCGTTGTTTTTAGGTTATCGTATGGTTTGTGGATACGTTGTCACACACATAGACGAATAGAAAAGCACTCGTAGATCTGGTGATGGTGAATCATTTAGGCAGTATAAAAATTTGCAGTTCCTGCTAACTATTCCTTTATTGGTTGTGTGATGAACTATCGTGTGCTCAAGAGCCCCCACTGGCATCTACCTTCATATTTTTATGTGTAATTTTGTTCTTAACTTGTTTGACGATAGCCTAGGCATTTTTTAGGAATGCACCACAGTACTTTTGGAAAAGTCTAAAAGCGGTATATTATTATTATTATTATTATTATCATATGTCCTTTGGGTTCCTAGTGGAACATAGTGCTTCAGTAGCACGCCTCTATTGCACTCCGTTCTCTGCAGTCTTTCCAACCTGACTCCACGACCGCCCACAAACTTTCCTTTCTTCCTCACATGATTTCCTCCATGTCACCCTCACACGCCAAACTCGTTGTTTCCCATTTCGCTTCCACTCAACGGCCTCAGCTGGCATGGTGCGTAATGTCCCCAAACTGTCTTCTCAGTCTATGTCCAATTCAATCCGATCCATCTACACTCTCTTCGACGTATTTGTTCGGCACTATGTTGTTGGTTGGTTCGTCACCAGCCTGCCAGCCAGTCAACCAGAGTTCCCTGTTGCTTATTCTTATTATTCTGGTCATCAGTCTGATCTTCAATATCAGTATCAAGTGGGCGTAGGTGGCAGCTGTTCATAGTGTATATATGCAGTTTGTTGCATATACTTTTCGTAACACGCCAACTCTCTCAACCATCACATTGAAGCAGCGACTTACTTGGCTGAATTAGTGTTGGAAATCCGGATGTTGTTCACACTTTACTCTGAGTGCATTGAGGTGAGGTGCAGTGCAGAGTAGTGCAGTAGATCTCCACACTGATTATTTCAGATTAATGAAGGAAGGCTTGTCTTGCTGTCTTAGGGATCCTGACTATGATGTCCTCATGTGTGCAGCCGACTGTAGTTGAAACGATGCTGACCTCTAGGTAGGTGAGAGAGATAACTTCCGTTAAATTTCTCCCGTTCATGCTGATTCATGCTTGTTGTTATCCATGTTGTTGTTGTTATTGTTTGGGTATCTTTATCACCCCTGTCTTCTGTATGTTCACCTGAAGGAAGTTCTGTCTTCCTTCGCTGCCCCGCCTGTTCGGCCAACTTGTTAGTTTTCGCCTGTAGATCTTCGAGTTTGTGCAACATTAGACATAAATTATCATCGGCGAAATTCAAATCTTCTAGGGTCTTTTCATCGGTCAAAAAGCGTATGCTCCTCTTCTCGCTTCTTAAGGTTTGCTGCATAATCCAGTCGATCACAATCAGAAGGATCATCGTTGATAGTAGGCGGCAACCTTGCTTTAATCCTACCTGTCTTTACTTCGAAGGCATCGCTGGGCTTTTCATTGTGAATCACTTGGCATGTGGCGTCTTCATATAGCTATGGATGAGGTTGATAAAGGTTTGTGGCATTCCATAGTGTTGAAGCAGTCGCCAAACTACTTGTCGGTCGACGCTATCGAGGGCCTTTTCAAAATCGATGAAGTTCAAGTTGAATTGGCTGCCATTCTATGCTGTGTTCTACGATGATGCATAGCATAGCGTTGCAATTTGATCGGTACATGATTTGTTCTTCCTAAATCCAGCCTGTTCCGGTCGTAAGTTTGAATCCAGAACATCTTTTAGTCTCTCCAGTATGATGTGGGTTAATATTTTGCCTCGTGTGGACAGGAGTGGAGCATGATTCCGCGCCAGTTCTTACAAAGACTTAGGTCGCTTTTCTTTGAGAGTTTGATAAGGTAGCTCTTCTTCCAATCGAAAGGTACCTTTCCTTGTTTTGAAACCTTCTGTAATAGTGGTGTGAGCATGTCCGCTGATGTCTCTGAGTCTGTTTTCAGTTGCTTTTGACGGGATTCCATCTGGTCCGGTTGCTTTCCCGAATTCCAGCAACTTTACGGTGTTCAGGACTTTACTTCTGCTTTTGTCGGAGGGCTTGTGTTCACTGGTAGTCCTGAGGCTTGGCTACTGGTGTATTTCTGGACGAGTTGCAGTTGTTGTTGGTGGTGGTGGTCGATCTGAGGGTTTTTTGAAGTGATTAGCTCATCGTTTCTTTGTTTCTCCTCTTTCGCGTGACTAAGTTTCCTTCACTATCTTTCATTTTTTTCGTCTTCGTTGATCTCTTCTCGGATAGTAACCTGGATAGTAACCTGGTTATTTGATATAATGTTGTCAGGTCTCTGTCTGTCTTACCTACAGCCTGTTCTGCTTCACTTGCCAGAGTGTCGTAAGAGTGTCTTTTTTCTTTGTACTCACTCTTCTTCACTTCCTTTTCCACGGTAGTGTTTTGCAGGTTGTGTTCAGCTCCTCTTTACGTTGTTGATCCCTGCAGCGCACATCACTGCACTGATTCATCTGCTTCACCATCACCATCTTCCCCTCCCCGCTCTATCAGCTTCCATGTATCCGTGGGATTCATTCCTTGTCTTGTCCTGCTTCTTCCTTCTTAATATGTTTACGCAGGTTTCCTTCCACATCTCTTTCAAACAGTTCCAGTGTTCTTCCATGCTGGTTTCCTCAGAGATGTGGCTCAATATCTCCCATTTTGTCCTGATGTCTGACGACGTGAAGACGTCTTTCGTAGTTTCGTCCTTCAGTTACTTTCTGTTCTGGGTGTTAACCGGTGTGCGTCTATCACCAGGTTGTTTGATGGCTTTCAACTTGATTTTGAATGTAGGTCTTTGCACTAGAAAGTGAGTGGTGTCAACCTACATCTGCTCCCTTCGTGATCTGATCTGCTTTTGTGTCCAGTAGGCTGGCCGCGTCTCCACTTTCCATTTCATCGAGACTGAGATGGAGTCGATCTGACTTTTAGTGTAGTGTGTCCTGGTGTCTGGTGAAATCAACTCCATTCGCTGCCTTGTGAATATCCTTGTGTTTGTACACACTGCCTACAGTCACCAGATTGTTGAATGTGCAGAGACCTGCAGACAGTTCTCCATTCTCGTTTATCCTTTCACCGAGTGCTTCTCAACCCATGATGCATGAGTTTTCTCCCTGTGTTGTCCGCTCCGAGTTTGTCATTCATGTCACTCCACCCATTAGAATGGATTTTGATGTCGCCAGCTGTGTTGTTGTCTTGTCAAGTACTGATCGCAGTTGTCAGTAGAATTCCTCCTTTTCCTCTTGCTCTGCATTATTTGTAGGTGCATAGCATAGCGTAGCATTGCATGATTGTGACCTTCCTTCCTTTTGAGTTGAATCTTGCTGTCATGATCCTGATCCTGGAGGAGGAGATTCGATCCCACTATATGAGAGCCTTTGATGCTCTTGGGGACATCGTAACAGAGACTCCAAAACTCAGTGTGCTCGTGGTTGTCGTCTAGGTGATAATATCTGAGTAGATTATTGACTCTCTTGTTAACAGTTTGGAGAGTCCACTTCCATTCCATCTACTTCGCAAATTCCCAGCACTTCTATGTCATACCTTCTCATCTCTTTTGCAATCTGGGCAGCCGTGCTAGGTTCAAATATAGGGCGGACATCTCATGTCCCCATGTTTACTTTCGCTTTCATGAGAGAAGAAAAGATACACCAGCCGACTGGCTTTCCGAAGGCTTTTACCAAACCGGCGTCATTTCGTCTCCCCGATTTATTTTTATTTTTGTATTTTGTTTGTGCTTTGAAGTTTCCTTAGTGATTGGATTAGTTTTTGGGGGTTGAGTCGCTAGCCGTATCCCCAACGTCCCCTCTTCATCTGGGCTTAGGACCGGCTAGTAACTAGTGAACTAGTTAACCTCCATCATATTATGGTAATTTACACTACAATGGGAACTGCTTTTCGTCTAACCACTACGTAACAGACCTTTCCGGCATGTTTAGACTTCGAGGGAACAAGCGTTTCACCAGTAAAGCTCGTTGGGTCATTGTGATATACAAGCCCGACTACCAAATCAAGGTAACAGCTGTCGGTCGGGATCCCTAAATAAGGGAAAACATTAATCTAATGGTTTCAGGTTTTCAGTGGCTTTCCAAATGACGTAAATCCTTGGTAAAAATTACTTGCAAATCATTGAATTGCCTACAAGCTAACAGTTAAGAACGAATTGATTGACTTCGATCAGTATAGTTTATAGTATACTTCAATGACTGATAACCAATTACATTCAAGCTGTTAAACGCTTTCTTCCGCTGCTTCGTTATTACTTGCTGTTTTACTGTTTACTTACTACTTGTGTTTAATAGGTCCACTGGGCATTAAATTTATATGCGATCGATTAATGCATTCTGTTGGTGATCGTGTAGACGAAATCAATAAACTAGTTCGCCAAAATCGTAGTACCTTAGAATCTCTTCGTGAATGTATCAATGATCCGGTGAAAACACGTCAACTCAATGGAAGTCTACAAAATTGTGATCAACTTTTAAATCTGTTAAAAGAGATTGGTGTAGCACTGGCTTTTCGTAGATTATGCTTTGAAGCTGTTCATTCTGTACTACAAGTAAGTATGTGTGTGTGCATGTTTGTAAATACTATTGTTCTTTTATATATACATATATCTTTCTCCTACAAGATTGTAAAGACTCCATGAGACATGTACCACGCACGTCTACCCATGGATACATGTGTGCGGCCAAAAGATCCGATGACCCGATGAATATGGATACACTGAAGTGCATCTTTGGAATTGTTCTTTTACTGTTATACGTTCATAGTCTGTTCTAGGAATTTTCTATTCACTGCGTGCTGGTAACTGTGTCTAGACAAAAGTTAAATGGCCAGAGGTATATGTTCAGTGTTAATCAATCCGGTTTAGAAGAACGTCGTGCTGATAAACACTGGGTATCTACGAGCTCCTTGCTCCTTCTCGACGCCCATCGGACGATTCTGGTGGATAGTGAGTACAATGGTTTGTGTAAGTCTCTTACACGAAAGATCACACAACGTCTAGACAACAACCATAAGGCTTGGTAGTCAGAACTTGCGAGTGAGATGGAAGCAGCATCCGGGCGGAAACCCGGCGGTCATGGGTTCGAATCCGGCTGAGGTCCTGATTTTCTTTTCACTTTCAATCATCACCTAATATCATTTAACTCTTGCCTAAACATAGTCACCTGAAGGCAGTGAATTGGAATTTCCTTGAAGAGACTGTGAATGCATAACAGCCAAGAGTAGGTAATTACCAGATTGCTCCCGAATGGCATGGTATTTGTTCATGCCTCTACCAGTGAAGTCCTGTTCACTGCCTTCACATTCTGGGGATGTCTCCACAGAAGTGAAAGGGTGAAAGCGAATGTTCGCCGCTTATCACCGAGTTAGTGAACGCTAAGAGTCCACCTAGGAGAGTTGAAAACCCTGATTCCAAACCAGTGGTGCACATAAACCCCAGGTTCCAGATGGTACGAATGGCGCATGGATCTATTTCAGTCACCAGCAACCATTAAAATGCAGCTGCTGATGTTGCCCCAATGCCTTGTAGATTGGACTTTAAGTCAAAGGCTCAAAGAACGGTCTTCTAAAACAACCACCTGCTTCGTTCTGGGTGCTCGGGTAGCATCACATCCCTCACACAAAATATGAATTCACAGCATAAAATGAAGATTTCGATGCAAATAAGCTACTTTCCTGCGAATACTGAAGCTCTTCGCACTACGAACTTTATAACTGATTGTTAAATTTACTACTGTTATATTGTTTATTTTCATATGAATTGTATTTTTTATTATTACCATTTTTGCTTTTGTCTTTATCTTCACTTCACTCAGCTGCTCTCCATTGCTTATCTTTACCCTTTTGGGTCACTAAACAGCTGCCCCCAAAAAGTTATCTTCCAGTGCGACATCTGACACAGGTAAACTGAAACCAAGCATACCGTTTAATCTAGCCACCTTCAATGTTCGCATCTTAATGCAGATCGAACAACAGGCAAGTTTGGCTAGAACTCTGGGAAGCTTCGCTGTTGATGTGTGCTACATCTCAAAGACCCACATGCAAGATCCCAGTGAAGTGCTTTTAGTTAGCTTCCCATCTGTCACCTGGAGAAGTATGTTTCATATGCCTTTATCCGGGAACCCTGTCGCACCGGCAACTGACCTCGCTGGTGTCTATGTCGCACACACAGTAGGTGTGGCTCAACGCCTACTGCACCGATGTACACAAGACATCTGAGTACGTTTTGTCCGTTCATTTGTTTGGTGTCATAGCTCTCGAGCCGAAGCTACACTGCTCGACTGGATCCCTATCAACAGTCTTCTGTGTTCTGGTAGGCTGGAAGGTTCGTCCGAAGTAAGAAGTAACCGGTAGGAGAAACGATGTCTCTTCGTCATCTCTGCCTATGCTCTGACGGATTGCAGCCTTGATACAACCAGAGGTGAATTCTTTCATCAGCTGAGTGACCTCAACCGAGTGCTCTAGACAGATGTCGTAGTGCCAGCTGGGGACTAGACAGCTTTAATCAATGATATGTCAGGGGATTATTGTTAGAAAAACGTGTTTCACCTATATCTTGTGTGTACTGAGATCCACTGGCAAGCCGTGTCACCAACCTTGGGTAAACCTTCGTCCTCTTGAAGATTCAAACTTAATTCACTGAGTATTGAAACACAGACAAAATCAACGTAGTACTTCGCACAAAAACCTACCGGTGCAACTTGCTACACTTCACAGTAGTATACAAAGAACAGGTGGATAGAAAAATTGATGTCAAAGTAGATGAAATTGTGTGAGAGAAAGGTTAGTTTGAATATTTTCAGCCGTGTTTCCAAGAGTCGTCTCGGTGACCTCAACCAGATAGTTTATATCTCCCTACGTGACTCAGACCAACAGTAAGAGACTTCACAGACTTGTGTCACGTCTTGGTCTAGTCACCCTGAATCCCCGTCTAACCTAATCCAACTTCCCCTAGCACGGGACCTCGAGGTAACCGGTGGATCAATGTGTGCAACACATGTCGAAGTCATAACTTCATCAATCCACTTGCCTTTCTTCCTTAATACCCTTGACCTGATCTCCACACCGCTCATACGGTGATTCCACTGAACTCGATCAATGCTACGAAGTCACCACTGATCAAAACCAGTAGTCGCTTCATATCTACTGTTTCCAACTACTATGTCTCACAGTATCCTACATTAATTCTTCGATACCTGAGTGGAGCTCGGGAACAGCAAGCCCGAGTAAACCAGGCAGGTTTTAGACCGGGCTGTGGGTGTATCAACCAAATATTCACACCGCCAGGTTCTAGAACACAGACACGCTTACCGATACCCAGCTATAGCTGTATTTCTCGACCTGAGGACGGCGGCATTCGACTCCGTCGATCGAGAAGTGTTATGTCAATGTCTCCCACTGAAAGACGTGCCGAGTAAGTACATCACCTTATTGAGAGCTGTCCACTCGAACACTTGTGGGTGTGTTAGAGCCTGCGGTGAGATGTTCAGGGAGCTATGCTCATCGAGTGGTGCCCACTGTCTCCATTCCTATTGAATTTTATCATAGATATTCTTATGGAGGTCTCCCTCTCGTCACCTGATTACACAGAGTTTGAGGTGATCATAGGATAATTTTCGTTAGACCTGGAATATGCAGATGATATGACATAGTCGTGTTAGGTGAAGGTGCTGACAAGATGCAGAGTCTTCTGAAGACTTTGAGTGTTAATTTGAGAATGTTTTGGATGTGTTTGTCACCACCCGAATGCAAATTGCTGCTGTAGGATTGGTCTTCAATGGTGCACCACCACGGGTAACAATAGATAGTGTAGTGGTTGAGTGTGTTGACTACTTGACTTACCTGGGAAGTGTGATCAGCTGTGGTGCATTAGTCATTGGTCGATGAAATCTGTGCATGGGAACAAAAGTCTTGACTGGCTTTTGCTAACTCATGGTATCTGTGGTGCCGTCGTGATATCCGATTGTGTATTAAGGGTTGTGTGTACTGCACAGTAGTCCGGTCTGTTGTACTGTATGTCTGTGAAACAGGACGATTGAAGGTGGAAGAGATGAGAAGGCTGGTTTCAGGTGTTTGAGTACCGTTGCCTTTGTAGTGTAGTCTGTATTGCGTTGTTTCAGCACATGAGTAACTCAGAAGTCAGGTGTAGAGTTTTAGGGAGAAGAGGTAAGTCTGTTGACGATGTTGTGAACCTTTGTTGAGTGAGATGTTTGGTACAGGTGTTAGGTCTGCCTAGTGGCTGATTGCCTCGTCACACAATGTTGGTCGAAGTAGGTCCATGTTGTAAAAAGGCTGGAGGTGGCCAGACTGAAACATGGTATGAATGTATGAAGTGTTTGACTGACTGTTGGTTATAGCGATGTGGGGTGATGCAGACTAGGTGGTTGAGGTCGGTGGGACAAGGGGAACCAGTGATTGGGGAGTCTAGGTGATATGACTGAGAACGGATGTTAGTGGTGCAGATGTATACACACATTATGCTCATCTTGACACTGTACGGAATCTCACCACTTCCTCATTCTTCGTTTTTCTCTTTGAGTACTTGATATTTCTTCTGAGTGAATTTTCTTATCTTCATCTTGCACTTCACTGCGTTTTTAGTTGATGTAGTGTAGTGATATGAGGTGTGGCAACTGTGATCGTTACGCAGTAATGCCTTGTTCTATGTTGATATTGATGATGAAAGCTGTATAACAGGACAAAACGGACTGCATTGACTATGTGCATGTGTTGACCGACTTCGAGTTATTGTTGTCTTGAACGAATTCTGATGAGATATTAACAAATCAAGGTGCATTTACGTTATCTCTCTCTAATCGTTTTGTTCTTCTTGAAGCTCGATAAAGTTGTTAATGGGTTACACGAATTGAAACTCATTCAACAACCTTGTACACGATCGTGCGGTTCGCAGTGATCGACATCTATTGTGTGTGGGGGCTACCAAACCTCAGTAGGTGGAGCGGTGTTCAAACATATGACCCACTGGTTGAAAACCAACTTCTTAAACCAATGAAGAATCACAGCTCCAGAAGATTCTCTTACGAATTACTGATTGTGAGTCTTAAAAAATAACCTCCCTGATACTTTACTGTATAAGTTAGAAATCCTGACTTTTAACTGATGTGTATCTCTCACTCTTCTGATCGTTTCTGACAATATTAATCCGTAAAAAAATAACGTTGAACCAGTCAGCTGTATTCAACTATGACCTACGATTCGTCTCCCAGCTTCAGTCTCTTTTCTTGCACTTACCATACCGAAACCCTGTAACGCAGTTATATATATCGGTTACAAACTTAATTCACCTTATGTTTATAGTGATATAATGCTCCGATGCGTAATGATTAATGATAGAACAATAACTTGTCAACTCGATATTAAGCTGTAAGCAGAGGAAAAAGACAATGGAATTGAAAGTATATTTACTTCAACCGAATAATCATCTCATAGGGGAAAACTCAGTCGTTTATAAATCCCTAGATGACCTTGGCCAGGAGAAAACAAAATAGCATATTAAAAGTTCAAAATGAACCAATCAGCGTTTAGTTTTCGTAAACTGCGGTAAAAGTAAGTAACATCGCATGGCATAAAAAGGGTGCAAAAATAAGGTTTATATTTTACACTAATAATATATACATGTTATAAGTTAGTTTTTTTTAAGGATCTGTTAGGCAGCCCTAATAGATATTTCAAAGTGTAAAGTGTTTAATGCCTTTTTTCACATCATCCTTTTCTTTTTCTAAAGAGACGTACTCCATTCCTCTTGGACACTGTTCAAAATCTTCGTGCACATATAACACAAAAATCAAATAACAATAATCAATTATCATTATCCTCAGTGTCTAGTTCTCCAAGTGAGAATGGAAGGCATGAAATGGAACGTATTTATGCTCATTTCAATGAACAGTTAATGTTGAACAATCTATGCGCTTCTGTTGGTATCCCATCAGATCTGGATTATAATCTATGCTCAATTCTAAATAATCGGCGTATGGCTGCATTGGCTACAGCAAATCAAGCCGGTTTAAATTTAACAGTAAATGGTTCTGGTAGTTTATCCTATCAAGAATTAGAATATCATATTGCTTGTCTATTTGTTGTGTTTATTGCTAACGCTTTCCCACGGTTAGCCCGTCAAGATTCTAGTCTTTATCGGTTAGATTTAGAGGCGAATGAGAATAATTGTCATTGTATTGCTTATGCAGTGAATACTTTAATGGTGAGTTGTTTATTGTCTTCACATCCCCCCCCCGCTTATCCCCACTTTATTGTATTTCTTATGTAATTGCTCAGTTTGCTATTACTCAGACAAGGTGGGGGACTCTTCAGTTAATTGATTCTACAACATTGAATCTGGTACAGAATTGTAGAATTTCAAGTTATCACACTTCATTATCACCATGCAACAAAGAAATTAGGAAAAAGTGGATATGAAAGTTAATAAAAGTGGATGATAGGAAGAAGAAAAGCTAGATGAAAGGCTAATGAAAATATCCCAAACTTCTAAGGTAACAAAGTAGACTGATTACATATACACTATAGTGATTGGTTTTAAACTTTTCACCATAGATCTCCAACAATTACTTCTTGTCGTCCCAAAGACGCCAGTAAGGCAGTCTATATCAACTCAAACCGAAATTTATTGGTTGATAACCAGTCATAAAAGCTATAGAATGGTACAGATATACTTGGCTTCTTCTAGGAAAGATTCACGTCTAGCTGTCGACTTTACAGAGTTGCAGTTGACTGGTTAACACTTTTTATAATTCTTGTTACCTTGTGTTTGATTATATACGATAAGTCCTTACCAATATTCTTAAATTACTTTGACTCACGATTCGCTGCATCTTTCTACAACTTTGATTTGTTTATTTTTTTTCACAAAGCAATAAAACGCTAGAATAACCAAGTCATTTCTCATCATTCAACTGATACCAGTAATTACTATATTGCATTTCACTTGTGGAATTAGGTTTTTTAAAAGCAAAAGATAGTCATAGATTTCGGTAAGTAGCGAAAGAATGAATATTGTTTCATAAACACTAATGTTGTAAAGATGACGATGAACATGGTTGAGATTCAAGACGCTGATTCAGTTCGTCAATCTGGACCACTTTTGGCGCCATTGCGACGTTAATCTGACTGTAAAAGGGCGGGTTTACAACGTTTCCATGCTAGCAATTCTGCTCTACGCATGTCAAACCTGGCCTCTCCTAGCTGATGCTGTGCGACGACTCTTTTTGTTCGATCATTGTTGTCTCCATATGATTGCTCGTATCCTATGGTAACACCATGTACGTAATTCTGAGATACAACAGCTTGTGTTTGGGCATGATCGAGATGCTCATTCAATAAGTGAAGTCATCTGAAAACACGGCTTCAGTGGCTTGGATATGTGTCACGTATACTGTCCCAATAGCTGCCCTACTGTTCATTGTTTTGCTAGCTGTGGGACCGGATGGAAGAAGTGGGGTGGAGTGGTCAGTGTATGACGTGGCGCTGTGAAATGAAGGATATTTGTATCGGGTTAGCATCTATTGGTTCATCACAACACTCTGGTTGGGGTGTAAGAGATCACGCAACTCAGTGACTTGAGAATGGAAATCAGTGGGGTTCATACCATAGCTTTCTTCTATCCTCTGCTGCTGAAAATTAATGATGTTTCGTTTCTAATGTACCGTACTGAACTGCTCTTCTAATCATTTTATTCTTATTGTATTTTACTGTTATCCGTTTCCCTTCACCTTTATATCTTCAAAATTAGTGGTACATTGTTTTGTGTAGTGCGTTTCCCGGTGCCCTTGCTGTACTACGTTTGTGTTCTATTCAATAAAAATAAGGATCGAAAAAAAATCAGCACTAATACTGTAGAGATGATGGTGAACATGTTTGGGGTTCAAGAGGGCAATTGAATTCGCTCTAACTCAAATCTGATCGCCAATCCAACCAGTTAAAAATGCGAATAACACAAAGAAGGAGAAAATTGACATGTTTATTCTCGTTCTGAATACAAATCTAGGTTCTTTTTAGCGTCTCCTGAACTTATTGAGCAGAAATCTGAGCGTGTTTGACATGCATTTTGGCATTTTGTAAGGTGATCCTTCAGGACTAATCTGCAACTACTCCCAGTTCATTGATACTGAGTAAAATGGTTGAATGCACCTACTTGGGGAGTTACATCAGCACGAACAAACTTGTTGCCAACTTGTATCATCTCTGGTACCGACTGGTAAGATATCGGACTATCTATCAAAGCACGAGGATACTGCTCTGCAATTCGTTCCACCCTGTAATATACCTGCAAGAAATGACCGTTAAAAGTAGACTTGAAGCGGTTACAAGATCTGGATCACACATGTCTTATTGGTGTTTCTCGCGTTTAGTGGGATCACCGTGTAAGAAATGTTTAGGTCAGCGGAAGGATACTAGACAAGATAGGCAAGTCGATTACTGAGGTTGTAAACCTTCATCGGCTTAGATGGCTTGGGTATGTACTGCTCATACCAAACCACTGCCTACCTCCACCTGCTATGCTACGCTGGGGAAGTTGGATCTGTTAGTCTGTCATGTGAAAAGAAACAGACTACCTCCCTGGGGATCCCCATTACAATAGGACGCATTCCACTCCATTGATCGAGAAGTCTTATGACAATATCTCCCACTGAAAGACGTGCCGAGTAAGTATATCACCTTATTGAGGGCTGTCCACTCGAACACTTGTGGGTGTGTTAGAGCCTGCGGTGAGATGTTCAGGGAGCTGTGCTCATCGAGTGGTGCCCACTGTCTCCATTCCTATTGAATTTTATCATAGACATTCTTATGGAGGTCTCCCTCTCGTCACCTGATTACACAGAGTTTGAGGTGATCACAGGATAATTTTCGTTAGACCTGGAATATGCAGATGATATGACATAGTCGTGTTAGGTGAAGGTGCTGACAAGATGCAGAGTCTTCTGAAGACTTTGAGTGTTAATTTGAGAATGTTTTGGATGTGTTTGTCACCACCGAATGCAAATTGCTGCTGTAGGATTGGTCTTCAATGGTGCACCACCACGGGTAACAATAGAGAGTGTAGTGGTTGAGTGGTACTTGACTTACCTGGGAAGTGTGATCAGCTGTGGTGCATTAGTCATTGGTCGATGAAATCTGTGCATGGGAACAAAAGTCTTGACTGGCTTTGCTAACTCATGGTATCTGTGGTGCCGCCGTGATATCCGATTGTGTATTAAGGGTTGTGTGTACTGCACAGTAGTCCGGTCTGTTGTACTGTATGTCTGTGAAACAGGACGATTGAAGGTGGAAGAGATGAGAAGGCTGGTTTCAGGTGTTTGAGTACCGTTGCCTTTGTAGTGTAGTCCGTATTGCGTTGTTTCAGCACGTGAGTAACGCAGAAGTCAGGTGTAGAGTTTTAGGGAGAAGAGGTAAGTCTGTTGACGATGTTGTGAACCTTGTTGAGTGAGATGTTTGGTACATGTGTTAGGTCTGCCTAGTGGCTGATTGCCTCGTCACACAATGTTGGTCGAAGTAGGTCCATGTTGTAAAAGGCTGGAGGTGGCCAGACTGAAACATGGTATGAATGTATGAAGTGTTTGACTGACTGTTGGTTATAGCGATGTGGGGTGATGCAGACTAGGTGGTTGAGGTCGGTGGGACAAGGGGAACCAGTGATTGGGGAGTCTAGGTGATATGACTGAGAACGGATGTTAGTGGTGCAGATGTATACACACATTATGCTCATCTTGACACTGTACGGAATCTCACCACTTCCTCATTCTTCGTTTCTCTCTTTGAGTACTTGATATTTCTTCTGAGTGAATTTTCTTATCTTCATCTTGCACTTCACTGCGTTTTTAGTTGATGTAATGTAGTGATATGATTTGTGGCAACTGTGATCGTTACGCAGTAATACCTGGTCCCAGGTTTATCTGGATGGATGGATGAGGAATCAGTGTTTGAGAACTCTTGGTGATACGGCTGGAAATTGTTCATAGTAAGTAGATATATTCAGTTTCCTACGTCTTCTAAATCTTGAATATTTTAACTACTCTTCATTTTTAAATTCCTTCTTTGGTATTAATGTCTTTCAACCCAGTTGTTTTTTGTATGCTGCTGTGAAATGTAGCAAATTGAACTCGATGCACTTGTATGGGAGCTTCTAGGTTGATATTATTTATCCGTCTGTATAAGTCTTGGCAGGGTGACCTTACGAACTAGCCATTCAACGAGCAAATTACTGCAGTCATATTTTGTGAAAGTGAAATTTTTTGGAAACAGTATAATTGAAAATATATGAGCTTCTGGTATTTTAAGATTTGAAGGTCTTCACTTCTTGCATAATATTATAAGACTGTTGGCACCTGCACACACGCACACACACACACACTAATTACCTGAAGCTCCAAAAAGCATCAGCTTCATAAATTAAACCACTTTGGACACTTGAATCTAATTAGCTCATCTAAATGGGTCGGTACTAATACCAAAAACTTGGAAAAAGGTGTAGAAATTATTCCACATTTCACACATTTCTGATTCAATGATTGTTCACTGAAGGGAAACGTTATTTGATAGATGTTGGTTGAATGGGAGATAGGAAGCCATTGTGTGATCTAGGCTTCGTCCTTGTTAACACTCGTCAGCAGGACATATTAACAACCTCGAGGGAACTGATATCCCTTCATAGATTCAAATACACGTCACCTAGTGCTGCCGAGAAAGATTTCACTTCATTTACATTACAATGGAATGATAAGAAACTTTCAGCTGACTAGCATTTTAACATGGAATGTACAAAGGTGAACTTCGGAAATTCTTAGCCTCTCTCTCTCTCTCGGAAAACAGAAGATTTGTTATGTTTGTTCTCTCAATAAATCAGCTTTCAAGAAGTCACAAACTGTCTAGATCTGTGTAGGGATTCGTTACAAATTTATTTTCATATTGTCTTTTAGCATAGCGATGTTGCTTTTTTAGTGTTGTTTTCGAGTTCCACGATTATTTGATCTCGATGAGCTGGTTGGTTACAGTAAGTTACTTTCACCAGTTCATATTGATCCTAAGTCCTGCATAACACTCTTCATCTGGCAACTGTCTTCATCATATACCGGATAAAAGGGAAGTTGGTCATTCCTACACAACCACTTCAAGTGAATATTGTCTAATCACATAGGATTTTTTGTTTTTTCGAAGTTTAGCTGTTCATCTGTTATAAAATGATACAGAATAGTTTTAGCTCAGATGAATCATCTTGGTTTTGTTGCGTTCTCTGAGCTCAGTGGTTTACTTATGAAACTTTCGATGTCTTTGATGATATAAGTTGTACATCTCCGTTATTGATTGAACCGAATTTGATGGACCATTATTGACATATGGGCCCTCATGTGTGGATGCCTCGATGTTTCTGGTATTTTTGAAATTTGATATTATTGATAGATAGGGGCTAGCGATGTAATCGAGAACGCACATTTCTTCGCAAATAGCCACTAGCCATCAATAATATCAAATTAGAAAACCACCGCCAATATCAAGGTATCTGCACAGGGACCCACATGTTAATAGTCGCTGATCATTTCGTTCCAACCAAAGACGAAGGTGCTCAAGCTATATCATCAAAGGCTACACTTTGTCCGCCGTATAAGGAGTGGCTATTGTGACTCAGTGGTCTAGTGGATAACGATTTGGCGTTTGAAGCGATTGATCCCGGGTTCGAGTCTCAGCGGGAACATCATCACCCATGGGGACGCAGGTACATCCAGCTGACGAGTCCCAAATGGGCAGAAACGTGTCTTGGGTTTCACCGCTAGCCACTATCCATCAATGATATCAAGCTTTCATTGTTTTTCTAGATAACCTCCTCGAAACACATTTCAGTATGAAGTAAGTTATCAGGTCTTGGTAGTATTGTGTTCTCTGAGCTGGGTTATTTAATGGTGGGACTTTCCTCGTCTTTCTAGACGACATCATCAGGACTAATTCAATATAAAGTGAGCTGTTAATATCCCTCCGTGTGTGAGTGATTTAGTAGCTTCCCATGACGAAATGCTTTGTGATTAACTATTTCCTTTGATCGTTGTACAATGGACTGCATACATTTTCCTGTTGGCTGTTCCCCTCCTTGACCTCTGATGTTTCTGTTCTCTATCATTTTTCTTAATGGTTGATAGACTGGGTCTATGTTTATACATCTATTGATTGCTGACTCACCTGACCTGAATGCCAAGCTTCTAGGAATTCTCTTATGTTCTTTGTGTTTTCTCTGTCCAAGGTCAGTAGACTACCTTATCAAAATTGAATTCATATCCATAGTTCTCTACATGCATCTATAAATGAGAGTGATGAAATATTGTGACATTTAATGGCTAATTTGTGTTCATGTAAACGAGGGTGAAGAGCCTGACTACTTTGTTGAATGTAGTGTTGACCACAGTTATTTTAGTTGATTTTGTAAATTGTATTTGGTTTGTCTTCTTTGGTTGTTGTATCCTTTGCTCTGCATAACATGGTTTTAAGGGAATTCGCTGATTTATGAGTCATTCCAAGTACAAGTGGTCTAACTAATCTCGTCATAATTTCTGATATATGCTCTATGTACGATAGGATGATGTGTTTGTTGATTTCTGTCAATGACTTTATAGTTATCAGGTCTTCTGTGTTAGTGATTCAGTAGCTTACCCTGACAAAGTGTTGCGTGACTATAAATTGAAATTCGTCATGGACTGACATCATTTGGAGGACATTGGGAATACCGGGCAGCTGTTTCGTCCCAGCATAGGACTCCTCAGAGGCGTGCGCCCATGACCCCGCATAACCAGGGATCGAGCCCGTGGCCATAAGGTTCCGTGGCCAGCACGTTACCATTGGGTCGAAATCCAGTGGTCTATATTTCCTACTTCTGTCATTTCACGATATGGCACCACTTCTATCCAATGTCGTCATTGAGTAACTGTCCTCGTATTCGACTTGGTTAACTTCCCCGGTCATGACTTCTCAATGGAACTTCGGAAATCACCTCTCGAAGCTAGTCACCGATGGGCGCTAGATTAATGGTATCTGGAGGTTTGTGGAGATTTGTTTATGGGTATTAGGTTGATTATTATGCAGACCAAAGGATACAACAGCCAAAGAAGACAAACCAAATATAATTTACAAAATCAACTAAAATAACTGTGGTCAACACTACATTCAACAAAGTAGTCAGGCTCTTCACCCTCGTTTACATGAACACAAATTAGCCATTAAATGTCACAATATTTCATCACTCTCATTTATAGATGCATGTAGAGAACTATGGATATGAATTCAATTTTGACAATGTAGTCTACTGACCTTGGACAGAGAAAACACAAAGAACATAAGAGAATTCCTAGAAGCTTGGCATTCAGGTCAGGTGAGTCAGCAATCAATAGATGTATAAACATAGACCCAGTCTATCAACCATTAAGAAAAATGATAGAGAACAGAAACATCAGAGGTCAAGGAGGTGAACAGCCAACAGGAAAATGTATGCAGTCCATTATACAACGATCAAAGGAAATAGTCAATCACAAAGCATTTCGTCATGGGAAGCTACTAAATCACTCACACACGGAGGGATATTCACAGCTCACTTCATCTTGTGAAGGGAACTACAGTTTTCTATGCGATTTTTGTTTTGGATTATACGAAAACTAGACAGATTTTTGGTCAGTTCACTTGTTTATTTTCTCAATACAAATAGAAATTGGTTCTGTAACTTGTTTAAGCATTTTCATTAGGTTACGTTCAGTTTCTTTCTTGCTGAGCTGTACGTTTAGAAATCATTCGCAGATATATCCAACAGTATGATCATCATCAGTTGTCAAGATCAACATGGGACCAGGCATTTCTGCTTAACGGTCTAACTTTCCACCCACACCTCATATCACCACATCAAGTAAAAAGGCAGTAAAATTTAAGATGAAGAAGGAAAGGAAAATCGGTTAAAGGAAGTAGGAAAGTGAGGAAAGAGGAATGAACGATGAGATTAAGTATAGCAGTTAAGATGAGGATAGTTTGTGCATACATGTGCGCTACTGACATCGGTTCTGAACCATATCACCTAGTTTCCAACCACTGGTTTCCATTGTCGGTAGAACTCATCCGAACTGCAGTCAGTGTGTGCGTGAGCTGAGATTACAATAGGACAATGGCTGGTTTCATTGTTCCTTTTAGTTCTCACTCCGCCGTTCAGTTGGGCGGCACATAGGCAACTGGAATTCAGTCCAGTAGTGAACTTTCTGCCTTAGTGCTTAATGCTATGTTTACGCCTGCAAGACTGCGAGAACTAGCTATCGAATCTCCAGAAACTCGAAGGGTGAATTTTGTGGATTCATCATATTGGCCAGGAGAGATTAAGTGAGTAACTGAAGTGGGTCCTGTATGCGTGCCTCACAAACACAGCATACATCCATGGTCCGAGTTGCTAGGGTTTTGACCGATGAAGCTGGTTGTTCAGTTTGACGGAGGGTGCGGACATTGAAGGCTCCAATGTGTGTAATTTGGAGCATAGTTTAATAAGACCAGTAATGCTGTTCTGTGGACTCAGATCGTTGTCAAAAGCTTCAGAGCTAGAAGAAATTAAAGATAATGTAAGATTGTTAACTGTGAGATGTGAAGGTAAGGATGAGGGGAGGTGGATAGCAGTTTGAGGGAACTTGAGTGCTGACAGAGTCGCGAGGGGGGTTGCCGGTTGCCCACACCACGGAAGGCTAGATCTTCTTGAGGTACCTGAAAAAGAAACATTACTGCGTGATCACAAAACCTGGGGGATGTCTGTTTGAGACAGGTCACGTACGGCCTTTTTGATGCCACGAAAATTGGCCTGCATTACGGAAGATGTAGACGGACATACGTCCTTTGATTTTGGATCACCACTGTTGACTGATCTAAGCTATCAACAGACCTTTCTGGTATAGTAGGACCTCGAGGAAACAAGCGTCCAACCAGCACAGCGCTCGTTGGGTTATTGTGATATACACCCACCCCCGACCACTATGTCAAGATAGCAGCTATCAGTCAGGCATATATATATAACAGTAAGTTCATCTATTGCTGATTAAACTAGGCGCTTGATTTCCAACCGATACGTCATGCATTCGAATCCAGCTCCACCTACCGAAAATCTGGCAGCCCTTATAAATAGGTGTGGCTCACTGCCTACTGCACCAGGTTGCCAAGTAGATTTCAACCCTTTTTGCGATTTTACCGAATGCTTTTTTTCTTCTCTTTCATGATTTCAGGTCTCAATGTTCTCTCTTCTGCGTCCTGGTGATTTAGAAGCTCGTTCCAAAGAGTTTCTTGCTCTTGCCTCCTCCAATCTGTTAAGACTTGGATTAGAGACATCATCTTCCCTTTTGTCTTCCGAGGTCTGTGGTAGTAATACTCATACACTGTCAAGTTCTAGTCATTCTTCACAGTTATCTGCTAAATACAGAGATTCTATATACATTGTATTCGACAATCTTATCAGACAATCACCATGTCTATCTGCTAGCCTACAAGAATCCTGTTTCCCTTATTCATTGATTCGTAGTGCTTATCATAGTATTGCTAAGCTGACCAATTCATCAGGTGAAATGGTTGGCGGTGTACGTTCATCAAATATTATGTCTGCGTCATCTCATATAGATGGGAAATGTCGTGATTGATGCTAATATTTCATCTGCTTCATTGTATACTCCATAGATATTTTAAAGGTGCTGACTTTTTCTATTCATTTGTTGATTTATACATATATTTGATCTCTTTTGTTTTTGTCTGTTTTTTTTAATGGGGTTAGATATATGTCTAGAGGGGGGAGTTGGATTAAATTTGCTTTTCTCGTTTATATTATTTGCATTTCTTCTCCCTTTCTTTTTGTATTTTTATCATGGACAATATGATTTTTCTTCGACCCCCCGCGCCCGCTCTTCCCGGCCCATGTGTTTCCCAAAACTGTTTTATGCTACATTACAAACTGTACACCAAACCAATTTATACATACATATGTATTTTTTTCAGTACTGTATTTCACTTATTTATGTTCGAAAGAGGAAGGGGGTAGGTTCAAGCTGAAACTAGACTCTTTAGGAATCCATTGGAATAATCACCTTCTGTGGTGGACTGGATCAGGCAACAAACTGTGAGGACTGAGAAGATGAGCACATGGTGTTTGACCGATGAAAAAACCCTAGAAGATTTGCATTTTGTCGATGATAATTTATGTCTAATGTCGCACAAACTCGAAGATCTACAGGCGAAAACTAACAAGTTGGCCGAACAGGCGGGGCAGCGAAGGAAGACAGAACTTCCTTCAGATGAACATACAGAAGACAGGGGTGATAAAGATACCAAACCAACAACAACATAGATAACAACAAGCATGAATCAGCATGAACGGGAGAAATTTAACGGAAGTTATCTCTTTCATCTACCTAGAGGTCAGCATCGTTTCAACTACAGTCGGCTGCACACATGAGGACATCATAGTCAGGATCCCTAAGACAGCAAGACAAGCCTTCCTTCATTAATCTGAAATAATCAGTGTGGAGATCTACTGCACTACACTGCACTGCACCTCAATGCACTCAGAGTAAAGTGTGAACGACATCCGGATTTCCAACACTAATTCAGTCAAGTGAGTCGCTGCTTCAATGTGATGGTTGAGAGAGTTGGTGTGTTACGAAAAGCATATGCAACAAACTGCATATATACACTATGAACAGCTGCCGCCTACGTTCACTTGATACTGACATTGAAGATCAGATTGATGACCAGAATAATAAGAATAAGGAACAAGGAACTCTGGCTGGCCGGCTGGTGACGAACCAACCAACAAACTAGTGCTGAACAAATACGTTGGAGGGAGTGTAGATGGATTGAATTGGACATAGACTGAGAAGACAGTTTGGGGACATTACGCACCATGCTAAGTGAGGCCATTGAGTGGAAGCGAAATTGGAAACAACGAGTTTGGCGTGTGAGGGTGACATGGAGGAGATCGTGTGAGGAAGAAATGAGAGCTTGTGAGCAGTCGTGGAGCCAGGTTAGTAAGACTGCGGAGAGAAGAGTGGAATGGTGATTTTCTAGTGAAGTCCTGTGTTCTGCTAGGAACCCAGGGGACAAATAATGCAATAATAATCACCTGCTACATCGAGTATTCCTATTGTCTGTAGTTCTTATAAAAGCTTCGTCGAATTGTAAGATTAGAAGTAGCTCACTGTGGTGAATTATAACTCGATTTCGACTGATGCTATGAAGAGTGTTCAGATCCACTTCAAAGCAAGTTTTCCGCCACGGACCGATGTCAATTGAGGTTGAACTACTTCAGGTTATGATCAAAAGTCCTGACCTATGGGATCAACTAACCTCGCCTGGTTAACTAGTTTACTAGTTACTAGCCGGTCCTAAGCCCGGGTAAAGAGGGAAGGTTGGGCACAGGGCTAACAACCCTACCACGTAAAACAAATCTAACCGCTAAAGAAACTTCAAAGCACAAACAAAATATAAAAAATGAAAACAAACTTATTCCCCGCTGGAATCGGAGAGGCGAAATGACGCCAGTTGGTGAAAGCCTTCGGGAAGCCGATCGGCCAGGCCGATGTGTCTTCTCTCGATGAAAGCGAAAGTAAACGTGGGGACATGGAATGTCCGCACGATGTTTGAACCCAGTAAGGCAGCCCAGATTGCAAAGGAGATGAGAAGGTATAACATCGAAGTGCTTGGAATTTGCGAAAGCAGATGGAATGGGAGTGGACTCTCCAAACTGTCAACTGGAGAATCAATAATCTACACTGATATTGCCACCCAGACGACAACCACGAGCACACTGAGTTTCCCAGTGGCTATCATGATGTCCTCAAGAGCATCGAAGGCTCTCATGCAGTGGGAACCAATCTCCTCCAGGATCATGACAGCAAGATTCAACTCAAAAGGAAGAAAGGTCACAATCATACAATGTTATGCACCTACAAATAATGCAGAGCAAGAGAAAAAGGAGGATTTCTACAGACAACTTCAATCAACACTGGACAAGACGCAGTTGGCGATATCAAAATTCTAATGGGCAACATGAATGCCAAACTGGGAGGGGACAACACGGGAAGAGAACTAACCATGGGTCGAGAGGCGCTAGGTGAAATGAATGAGAATGGAGAATTGTTTGCAGAATTCTGTGCATTCAACGATTTGGTGATTGGAGGCAGTGTGTTCAAGCACAAGGATATCCACAAAGCGACATGGATTTCACCAGATGGACACACTAAAAATCAAATCGACTTTATCTCAATCTCAAGAAAATGGAGACGCAGTCTACTTAACACAAGGTCAAGAAGAGGAGCAGATGTAGGTTCAGACCACTATCTAGTGCAAGGAACCTTCGAAATCAAGTTAAAAGCCTTCAAGGAAGCTGGTGATAGACCTCAATTCAAGTACAACACTGGGAAACTAAAGGATGAAACTACATAGGAGATCTTCAAGGCAGCCATCAAGACAAAATGGGAGACATCGAGCAACATCCCTGAAGAAACCTGTGTGGAAGAACACTGGAAGTCTTTGAAAGCTATGTGGAAAGAAACCTGCACATCAGTATTAGGAAGGAAGAAGAAAGAAGACAAGGAATGGATCTCGACGGATACCTGGAAGCTGATAGAGGAGAGGAGGATGGTGAAGCAGAAGATAAACCAGTGCAAGGATGCTCAACGACAAGAGGAACTGAGCACAATGTATAAAACACTGGACAAAGAAGTGAAGAAGAGTGCACGCAAACACAAAATACACTTCTACACTGGCAAGTGAAGCAGAACAGGCTGCCGCAGGCAGGAGAGACAGACACCTGACAACATTGTATCAAATAACCAGGTTGCTATCAGGGAAGAGACCAACACAGATGAAACCAATAAAAGATGAAGAAGGGAATTTAATTACAAAAGAAGAGAAACAGAGGAAACGATGGGCCGACCACTTCAAGAAGCTCTTGAATCGACCACCACCTGCACTTCGTCCAGAAATACCACCTGCAGCCGCTGAACTACAAGTGAACATTAATCCCCCAACGAAAATGGAAGTCCTGAACGCCATAAAGCTACTGAAATGTGGGAAAGCAGCAGGACCAGATGGAATACCGCCGGAAGCAAAGAGAACAGATGCAGAGACAACAGCGGACATGCTCACACCACTATTGCAGAAGGTGTGGAAGGAAGAGAAGGTACCTGACGATTGGAAGAAGGGTTACCTTGTCAAACTGCCGAAGAAAGGAGACCTCAGTGTTTGCAAGAACTGGCTCGGAATCACTCTCCTGTCCACCCAGAGCAAGCAAAATATTAAGCCGCATCATCCTAGAGAGGCTTAAAGACGCACTGGATTCAAAACTGCGACCGGAACAGGCAGGCTTCAGGAAGTACAAATCATGTGCAGACCAAATTGCAACGCTTCGTATCATCATAGAACAGAGCGTAGAATGGCAATCAGTTCTATACCTCAACTTCATCGACTTTGAGAAGGCCTTTGACAGCGTCGACCGAGAAGTAATTTGGAAACTGCTTCAATACTACTGATTACCGCAAACCTTTATCCGCCTCATTCAACAACTATATGAAGATGCCACATGCCAAGTAATCCACAATGGGAAGCTCAGTGATGCCTTTGAAGTGAAAACAGGAGTGAAACAAGGTTGCCTACTATCCCCCATGATATTCCTTATTGTGGTGGACTGGATCATGCAGCAAACAGTGGGGAGCTGTGAGAAGAGGGGGATACGCTGGCTGGACTGGGGAAAAGAACCTAGAAGACTTGGATTTCGCCGATGACTTGTGCCTAATGTCACACAAACTTGAAGATCTGCAGGCAAAAACTAACAAGTTGACAGAGGAGGCAGCTAAGACGGGACTTCAGGTGAATATAGAGAAGACAGAAGTGATGAAGATACCGCACCACCACCATCAACAACAACAACAAACTCCAATCACCGTCAACGGGAGAAACTTGAAGGAAGTAACCTCCTTCACTTATCTAGGAAGCACTGTTTCAACTACAGGCGGGACGGACGAGGACGTCAAAGTCAGAATCGGAAAAGCAAGACAGGCCTTCATTAGCCTGAAACCAGTATGGAGATCTTCTGCACTCAGCATGCGGAACAAGATATGGATTTTCAACACCAACGTCAAGTCAGTGCTCTTGTATGGCTCAGAGACTTGGCGCGTCACGAAAGGCATTTCCAATAAACTACAGACATTCATCAACAACTGCTTACGCTCGCTGCTGAAGATCAGATGGCCAGAAAAAATAAGCAACAAGGAACTCTGGGAACGAACCAACCAAGAACCTATCACCCAACAAATATGCAGGAAGAAGTGGAGATGGATTGGCCATGCACTGAGAAGGCCGACTGAGGACATCACGCGTCAGGCCAGTTACTCGAGTGGAATCCCCATGGGAAGCGACGAGTTGGACGTCCGAGGGTGACATGGAGGAGGTCATGCGAGGAGGAAATGAGAGCTTGTGGGCTGTCGTGGAACCAGGTTCAAAAGATCTCGGAGAACAGAGGTCACTGGAGACGTGCTACTGAAGCCCTATGTTCCACTAGGAACCCAAGGGACTAATAATAATAATAATAATAAATGGGATCAACTACATTGAATGTAAGAAAACAGTCTGGAGTAATCATAAATAT